CTTGTTACCTTACTCATCCTAGTTCCAGAGAGGCAGCCCATTCATTCAATATTCCCTCTCAAGCTCTATTCATCCCAAAGAGTCGTTCCACACCGGCCAAGTGGAATCCCTCTCCGCCGTTGAGAGTGTACACTCTCATCGGCCAGGAGGAATCCCTCTCGGTTGATGAGAGTGTACACTCTCCTTGGCCGGGAGGAATCCCTCTTGGGCGGGGAGAGTGAACACTCTCATTGGGCGGGAGGAATCCCTCTCGGTCTATGAGAGTGTACACTCTCATCGGCCGGGAGGAATCCCTCTCGGCCGCTGAGAGCTATACACTCTCAACAGCGGATAGGGATTCCTCTCGGCCGGTGAGAGTATACACTCTCACCGGCCAGGAGGAATCCCTCTGGGGCTGGTGAGAGTATAAGTCAAGTCCGGCGCCAACTCCCAACCTCCCTGCGGGTTTTTGAAGATCGACTCCCAAAAATTTATCTTTTTATTTTTATTTTTTCTTGGGAGGATCGACTCCCAAACCTGTTGAAGGTTTGGGAGGTCTGACTCCCATGGACGGCCTGTGGACCGTCCGCAGGGGGTCTTAGTGACGTCCCAAATATTTGGGAGTCGGAACTCCAATATTTGGGAGTTGTTTAACTAAGACCCTAAATAAAAAGAATAAAAAGAATAAGTGCGGGGACTTGAGAGGTTCTCTTTCTGGGGCGGACCAGGCACTTGGGCAAAAATTTTCGGTGTAGCTTTTGTCAGGCTCTATGCTACTAACCTGTAAGTGAAGAAGATTTATTTGTGGTTAAATCCCTCAACCTGTAAAAGAAACAGGGAGGAGTCAGTGAGGAATGTTACTTCTGCTTCTGACTCATCCAATTGTTCAATTGGGCATCCAGATCAATCCTCTTGCATGGATTAATAGGCTTCCAAGGTGAGGAATTCTTCAACTCACTTGGGATAATTCTTTTAACAACAATTCAGATTAATAAGTGTATCAACACTTAAGGACCAGAATTGTTTAACCTGGGGGATAATTCTTTATGCAATAGAGATAAGTAGAAATGCCTTGAATCTGAGCAAAGTAAATCTATTTAGGTCTAAGGTAGCTGGATTGTAATGTTATTGGTGGGTTGAATCACTAATAATCACTTTACAAGTGTTGGCTTGATGCTACTAGATTTTCCTGGGGGGAAAAGGTAGGAATCAGGGCTCCTGTAAAATACTCTACAGGAGGCTCAGGGGGAGAGGAGAGGCCCTCAGGGCACTAGGGAGCTTCTCAGCAGCTCTAAAATTTGGTGTAAGGATGGGATCTGCAGCTGTGCAGTGCTATGCATGGGTGGAAGGACCTAGGACATGAGATCATACATGCATAATTGAGTTTTGTGGCCTATTTCTCACGTAATTGAAAAGGCTACAGTTACTGTGCAGGGGCTGTGCAATTGTAGAGTTAGTTGCATACGTGTAACTCTGCTTATTCAAGCTTGTGATCATGAGAAATGCATGTGCTGCATGCATAATTCAGTCTTGCATGTAAAATTTGGGCTCCTTTCCCGTGTAGGATATTTTGAATTATGCAAGCTTTGAATTAGAGCACAAAAGGGTCCTGATGACGCCATCCAAGAGGTTTGTGATGCAATCTGATGCCCTGATGATGTGATGTAGGATGGGTAAGCTTCAGATAGGTTTATATAGCTTATTCCTCATCCATCTCACGCTTCTACTAGCTGATTCTTATACATATGTAATTAGTTTATGGCTTATAAAATATGTACATGATGTATAAGAATAAATATTATTTTAATACCTTATTCTCTGTGAAATCCTAGTGATATTATATGTACAATACTCAAGGGGATTTCACAGTTAATTATAGAATTATTAAATATAAATTATGAATTAAGATTAAATGTAAATACATATTTATTTATTTATTATTTTAACAACAATGAATAATATTTTCCTGTATTCAATTAGTTATTATTATTTGCAGTTACTGGGTACATTTCACGTACTGTGAAAGGTACTCTGTGGCTGACAGCTTTTTGGACACGTGAACTTAAGTATAATATACTGGATTTCTGGAAACGGGATACCTAGACTATATACAAGAGGATAACGGAGGAAGAAGAAGAGAAACACTAGGAAGAGCTGGGACCAGGGGCCGGGTCGTCGCCATTTCCCTCGGGGTAGTCGGCAAGGCAAGGGTTGAAGACAGCCATGACTTGGAGGTGGTGGCGGCGGAGGTTGCGGAGCTCGGAAAGGAAGGCTGCATAGGTGGAGCGGCGGAGCAAGGGAGGGAAAACGGAGGCGCTGAGGATCGTCTTGAATTGGCCTTGGATATCTTTGATGGCGGCTTTGACCATGTCCGCAGGGATGGCATTGAACACGCCTTCAGCTTTGTCGGGAAAGATCTCCCGGAGGACGGGTTTGTTTGAGTTGGACAGGTATCTAGGCTTGGGAACTGAGGAAGGATCACAAATCAGCAGAAAATCCACTTACGGCAAAAATGGCAAGAGGCAGGAAAGGGGTTGGTGCGAGTGGGCGCAAAGGGAGAGCTGTTTACTACCGGACAGGGAGTGATGGCACAGGAGCAAACTGGATCCGGAACCTCGGAAGGCCCTCACTCAGCGGGCCGGGGCCAGGGAGTGTGCAGGAAGTTGAGGTGTGGAGGGGGAGATGAGTTGGGGAAGGAGGATCCTGGGGACAGGATTTCAAGCGTTGGGGGGATGTGGTGGCGAGAGCGCGCCTTGACCAAAGCTTTGACCGGTTTGTTGGGTTCATGCGGAATGCTCGCGGCTGACGCGGAAAGCATGCGGAGCTGATGCTACACACAGGCTGAGGAAGGCGGCGGTGCATTAGTAGAAAGTCTAGCTTTCCAAGGCGCGGGAAAGCGGGGAAAAGTAGGCTGAATGCACAAGGTTCCAAAAAGCTTTCTGCGGGAAAATCTGGGTACTGGCGGACGCCGGGGTTCACGGCTGACTGCGGAATGAGGTTCAGTGTATACTGAGGAGGGGCTACAAGGAGCGGGGGGGGCACCAAGGGGCAGAAGCAAGGTTTGGAGCAAACCGGAGGCGGAAGCGGCGGTGAGAGACCTGTACACGAGCGGCCGGAGGAGTACCTGGACCAACAGGCCTTGGAGGGGTGACAAGCGGAGTCTGAGGGAGTGACAGCGGAGGACATCGTGAGAGGCAGGAGGAAACTTGAGTGTGGGATAATGGGGAGAGTGGAGTTTAGAGCAGAAGGGAAAAGAGGGGGAAAAAAACTTATGACTCAGAACATATCAGAAAAACAGAGTGACTTAGGAGTGAATCGTGTATTAGCCTAAAGAATTGTTAGATATAGAGAGTTAGAGTATTACCTACCAAAAAGATCAATAAAAGAACAGTTATTTTACCTACCTACAAGACCGTCAAGCAAGTTACCCCGGACAACAAATCGCAGTAAGACGTGTTGCGGAGCGGAGAAGTGCAAGAAATCTCCAAGGGAACGCCTTACTTTCCACAGTGTGGTTTCTGCTCCAGCCATTCCCGTATACAGTGTTGAGGTTGCAACTAGTGATGATTGTCCTTGTGGTGGTGGGGTTTCCAATATTGGTACAGCCTGTGGTGCTTTGGATTGCTTTAATAGTGACATCATCATTTCCTTCATCTGTTGCATGGAATCTTCAAGTTCTGTCATCTCGGCTTGCTGTTTTAGCATCATTGCTCATTGCTCCATACTCTGTTCCTCCGAATTTGACATTTTTGATTTTTGATTCACTAATTTGGAAAAATGTTCTGCCAAAAATTTCTGCTCCCTTTTTCTAATCTCCTTGTTGACCCTGGACGTCTTATTTCACTCCTGGGTATCTTTGCTCGAATCCTTTGTCTTGCCAATCAAATCCTTCTTCTTGCCAATCGAATCCTTCTTTTCGCCAATCAAATACTTTGTCTCGCCAATCGAATTCTCTGTCTCGCCAATCAAATCCTTTGTCTTGCCAATCAAAGATTTTGCCGCCTCAATTGTATCCTTTGTATTGCCAACCAAATGTTCCTTATTGCCACAAAAATCTGCCTTTTTCCCGTTATCCATGATTGATTTGATGTTGAGGTTGATTTGCTATAAAAATATGATTGATTCAAATGATCTTGATGAAGGTAATCGGCCACTGTTGGGACACCAGATGTCAGACTCCTGGGACGGATAGACACGTTAAAGTATATGTATATCAAAAGATCCCTTGAGGGGCAAATAAATTGCAAATAGGTTGAAAGGCTATTACAACTCACAGGTGGTTTGAAAGACCTGCCCCTCTAAATGTACTAAACAAATAACTAACAGTTTTGTAATCAATATTTAGTAATGTATGGCTGATTCCAAGATAGATCTTACTTTTGTAAAGTAATCTCTATCAGACCTAGATCACGTATCAATCTACTAATGAATCTGTTACAACTTCAGGTTAATAATGGAAACTGTGGTGCTGATGACTTGAGCAAAAAACAGATGAGTTTTCATAGAGTTTGTTAATGATCACTTCCGCAAACAATTTCTTATCAAAAACTAGAGCTTTGGTACTAATACTACTACTACTTGTTATTGGTTAATTGTTACTGTACTACTACTTATATGATGACTACTACTACTAATATGCTTCAAATTACAAACTCTTTGTTGTTTTCACACTTAAAATATTGTACTAACTCCCTACTTATCACTAACTAACTCACTTACTAACTTACTAACTAACTATGACCAACTTGCCGCTGTAGGTTGATGGGGAGAAGGGAATTTCTGGTGGGGAGAGGCCCTTATTTTATATTGAAGAGTGAGGAATTTCTGCTTCAGGGGACTCCTTGTGAGGGAATATTGCTGCAGGGGATCTCACCTTCACAGCCTTTGCAAACAGCCTCCAAACAAATAGTGCAGCTTATGCTGTGCTAGGAACACTTAACTCCAGACCTTGTCACATAATATGCATGCAAGGGAGCACACAAGTGCAGCATGATTTTATGCGTGGCCAGGTAACCAAGCCATCTTCCAGAACATTCTGCATAGGCAGTACTAGCCTGCCAGCCCTGCTGTTATCTCCTTCCATCCAGAGTTTGGGGGTCAAAGCCTCTCCTCACTCCGCCTCAATATTTTTCCTCCCTTCAATTTCCCCAATCTGTACCCTGTACCCTTATGTAAAACATAAAGTACCCTTATACACACCGCTCCTCCGTTCCATTCTTGGTTGGGACATGTTCTCCCACTCCTCTCCACGTATATACTTCCCCTCCTCCGTTCCATGCCTGGTTGAGACCTGTTCTCCCACGCCAATCCTAGTATTCACACCGCTCCTTTGTTCCATTCCTGGTTGAGACATGCTCTCCCAATCCCCTCCATGTATTTAATCCTGTCCATATATACCATACCTCATCCATAGTGATTGTTCCATCTCTTGTAATGACTGTCATATCTATGTAACTATGCTATCCCAACACCTCTGCTGTATGCGTTTGGGATTGGAACAGGCACAGCACACCACACCGGTCAAAGGCCCTAAGATTGGCGCCCCCAACAAGTTCAATGGCACCCGCGGAGCTAAAGCGGAGGTTTTCATAAACCAGGTAAACCTCTATGTCCTGGCCAAAGGACACCTTTTTCGCACCAACCACGCCATTATGGTTTTTGTGTTGTCCTACTTGACTGGACCAGCTAGCTCTTGGGCCCACCCGTGTATGAAGAAGGTGATGAGTGATACTGAGACTATCAGTAAGGATGACTTCAACACTCAGTTCACTGCCATGTACTGCAAAACCAAGAAGAAGACCAAGGCTGAAGCAGCCCTCCGTGCGCTCAAGCAGACCAAGTTGGTATCTCACTACACCCACCAGTTCAACCTGCATGCCCACAACACTGTCTGGGCTCCCACTGTCCTTGTCAGCCAGTACAGACAAGGCCTGTAATCCCAAATACGCCTGATGTTGCTGATGGCTTGGACTAAATTCCCCAAACTTACCAACATTGCCACCCTGGCCCTGCAGATCAACAATGAACTCCACGGCCTAACCCCCAGGGAGACGACCAAGGCCCCAGACCCCAATGCAATGGAATTATCAGTCATGCGTGGCAGCCTTTTGGACGCGGAAAAGACCAAGATGATGCGAGCGGGCCAGTGCTTCCGATGCGGGAACCAAGGCCACATCTTGAGGGATTGCCCGGACCGTGGCCAGAAGGGGAAAGGAAAGGAGAGGTCCCGGATTGCTGGACTTGAAGAGGAGGTATATAAAGCAGTTGAAGGAAAAAATGGAGGAGCTCAGGAATGAAGGATGTGCCTACCCTGAGCAGTGGAGATTTGTTTGTTGTTAGCATTGGTGCCAGTGAAATTTTTTCAAGAAATCAAATTGATCCACGTTTATTTATTTCTTTGCCCATCGTGCCACCCAAACATTCTTGAGCCACAACCCCATTGACGCTGGAGCAACCCATGACGTGATTGGCGAGTCTTGTGCCAAGTCTACAGGGCTCCTTGATATTGCCAGACCCTCCCAACGTACCATCTCTGGTTTTGACGGTTCCTCAAGACATTCTTCCTTTGATATCCAGATGACCCTGGACACAAACCCATCCCCTTCCCCATTCATCATCGCTTGCCTGAAAGACTCTTACAATGGAATCCTCGGCATGCCTTGGATCAGTAAGCATGGACACCTTATAGATTGGACTAACCAAAAATTCAGGAAACCCCCACAGTATTTTGCAGCTGTTGATACAGCTTTGTCAATTCCAAAAAAACCCTCACTGATTGGCGTGGAGCCCGTGAGGCAAGCTAGGATTTTTGACAAGGGGGTGTGTGTCTCTGACACATTTACACCCCCGCAATGTGAGTTTGCTGTGGTCCCTTCCACAATTCCTATTGAAACAGCTGGCAAGCCTCTTCCCTTCCTAGGACATAGCACCACCTGCCGGTGTGGTGTTCTAAACGGTACAGGCCCCCTCAAGCTCAAATTTCAAATTTCAACTTTCAACTTTTCAATATCATCAAGCCTCAAGATTTCAAAAATATCACCTCAAATCCCCACTCAGTCCAATGGTTTCCTCATTTTATTATTTTATTCCATTTCCTCTGATTATTTTATCTTCATATTATTTTTCATTCATCTTGATTTTATTTTTCATCATTTTATTATTCCTACTTATCTTTTTCAAATCACCTACTCAGTAGACAGTCTTGTTTAATTTTCTTGGTCCTAAGACATCTCAGGATGTTGGTTTATTTCACTCTTGATTATTTTGTTTTGTTTTGTTTTGTTCTGTTTTGTTCTGTTCTGTTCTGTGTTGTGTTGTGTGTGTTGTGTTGTGTGTGTTGTGTTGTGTAGTGTTGTGTAGTGTGGTCTTGTTTTTTTTTTTTGGTTGAGTTGTGTTGTAGTTAGGGATGTGATGACATGTCTGCGACATGTCACTCCCCAGAGTCAAAGTTCAGTTTGAACTGAGATGATGGGGAAGCATGGCACTCTGATCTGATCCAAGATAGTGTAAAACCCCTCCCCTGTTGGGTTTCACAAAGAGTGTCACGGATGAGATTCTTTGTAGTTATAGTCAGATTCAACTTGAGATCCAGACCTGGCTCCATAGAGAACTGATCCCATCTCTCTGAGCCAGGTAAGCTCTTCATTTTCTCATTGTCTTCCTTGATTCCTTTTCTTCTCATGTTTAGTGATTTATAGATAGAGAGAGAACTGATCCCATCTCTCTGAGCCAGTAATCAAGACTCCCCCTACCGCGTTTGGTCTTAGAAACTCTTAGGCACTTCGACCTGTCCCTCCCTGTGCCATTTCTCAGTTCATTTAGTGAAGGACATATTCAGTCCTTACACTTTTTTTTTCTCACACCAAACCAACCTCCAACTGCGACTGTTCCGTTCCGTTCCGACTACTTCGAGTTCCGTTCCGTTCCGACTCCTTTGAGTTCCGTTCCGTTCCGATTACTTCGACTGCACTGTTCCGCTTCGATCTGACTGTCCCGTTCCGTTCACTGTTCTGTACGACTGTCCTGACCTGCCAACTGTCTCACTTCAATTTCCCCCTTCGCCTATTCAATTCGTTTCCGTCGCGTTCCCTCTGGTTCATGATAACAAGGAAAAACGCCACCACAGATAACGTACTTCCTCTTACCGACCCCGAAGCAATACTCAAAACTGCAAACGCCGAAAAAAGACGCATCAAACAAAACTCGACCCGATCCATTGCTCCTCTCCCAGCGACATCGAACACAATTTCTAATATCATGTCAGATGCAGTTCCCCCACCCGGAGGCCAAGAACCACCAGCCGCCGACTCCACCCGCGACTCGACTCGCACTGCCGATGGATCTGATATGAGTACAGCCAAGGAATGGTTCAAGGCGGTACTCAAGATCCAACACTCGGCCATCACTCAAGCCCAGGAGGACCGCCGTCAAGCCCTAGAAGATCGCCGAGCGGACCGACAACTTTTTCTCGCTGTCCATCAAGCCAGCGCAGATCGCATTGGTCGATTGGAAGATTTACTGCTAGCAATGAATATCAAAAACGAAGTTAATGCACGGACCGAACAACCAGCTCCGGGACGAATCGACTTGCAAAAGTTTCGTACCTCCGATGGTCCAACCTATCGCGGGCCGTTTCAAGAAACGGAACCATTTTTACGCTGGATTCATGGTGTTCAAATTTTTTTTGAGACAAAGAGTGTCAGCAACGCGGCTGATAAGATCAAAATTCTTGGGAATTTAGTGGCGGAGACTAACCTTCAGGCTTTCTACGCAAACGAGGCGTCAAGTTTCCTCAACAAATCCTGGGAAGAATTCAAAATCCGCATGTTTGATTTTGCCTTACCCAACAATTGGCGCTCAGGACTACAACGGCAGATCCGTAAACTCGACATGTTACCGACCGAGACCTTTCTTGATTATAGCACGCGAGCTCGCACACTACAAAGCTTATTCAACTTTGATGCCGAGAAGTTCTCCAAGCTTGGAGATCTACAACTAGCTCAATTTTTGGTTTACGGCCTGCCGGATTCCCTTCAAGATAGGATCTACGAACGCCAACTTCTAGAAGCTTCACCTTTTGCCTACGGTCAGTTCGAGAAACAAGCCAACGCATCGTTCCTCGCGTTACAACGCCCCACAGAATTACCATCGCTAGCCAAGTCAACGTCCAACGCACCACCGACACTAGGTCGGGATGAGTTCATATGGCGAGTCCATGCGTATCTGGATTCGCAGGGACTCTGCCACTTCTGCAAGAAGCACTGCGGAAACGCAGCCGGAGCCTGCCCCGGACCAATCGACCGTTCCCACATCAATATCCCAAATAACTTTCAAACACCAACCAAGCCGCTCGACTATGTGGCCCCTCGCGCCCGGAGTAGACCAACCGCTGGCCCCGGACGAACATCTCAACCCCCAGCTGGCCGACCCTCAGCTCGTGCAGCTAGTGTGGCGGGTATTGCGGAAGTATCACCCCTTGAAGCTCAGGTTGCCGGGTTAACCGTCGACGCGGCGATTAGGGAAGATGCACGCCTCGACCATGAATTTGACGATGAGGGATGTTTCCCAGCCCTTGGTACAGCAGCTGTGGCTGCACTTGAGGATCTTGATGCCCAACTCCTACAAAACGAAATTGACCGGGCTACCCAAATCTCTAGCGGTTGGACTGGTAACTTAGCAGATGACATTGCGGGTTGTTAGGAAAATCATGAGCTGGAGAATCACCGCTATCCTTTAATTTTTCCTTTTCTTCTTTTCTTCTTTTTTTTTTCCTTTCTCCAATTTTCTTATAGGAGGGGAGACTGTAAAACCCCTCCCCTGTTGGGTTTCACAAAGAGTGTCACGGATGAGATTCTTTGTAGTTATAGTCAGATTCAACTTGAGATCCAGACCTGGCTCCATAGAGAACTGATCCCATCTCTCTGAGCCAGGTAAGCTCTTCATTTTCTCATTGTCTTCCTTGATTCCTTTTCTTCTCATGTTTAGTGATTTATAGATAGAGAGAGAACTGATCCCATCTCTCTGAGCCAGTAATCAAGACTCCCCCTACCGCGTTTGGTCTTAGAAACTCTTAGGCACTTCGACCTGTCCCTCCCTGCGCCATTTCTCAGTTCATTTAGTGAAGGACATATTCAGTCCTTACAGATAGACCCATCAAATCTTATTGATCCTTTTATTATTGATTCATCTGATCCTCATATTCACCTTCAAAGATCCTCAACCTCAACAACCGCCACAGAACTCAATTTCTGTTGTCTCCTCCCAGAAAACCAACCAACCACAACGTGTTTTTGTTCAGATCTCAGCTCAATTTATCCAGACCCCACTTGAAGGCAGCCCTCAAAGCATCATCCCTTCAACCAACTGCCTACCGCCTGGCACGATAGGAGTTCCACACCGGACCTCAACCACTGAAGACAGGACAATTGCAACTGCCAAGCCAGTTTTGCCAATTCCAACAAAGGCTCATCGATTGGCATGGAGTCCGTGAGGCAAGCTAGGATTATTGGAAAGGGGGTGTGTGTTTCTGACACGTTAACACCCCTGCAATTTCAGTTTGCTGCGGTCCCTTCCATAAATTCTGTTGAAACAGCTGGCAAGCCTCTTCCTCTCCTAGAACTTGTTCCAACCGCAGATTTCAGCGCCGCCAAAGCCTCTTGGTCAACATCGGCTCAACTCGCGGCGAACAGCAAGGTTAAGACCCCTGTGAAGACGGCAGAAGAACTAGTCCCAACCCACTATCACCGGTATATCAACATGTTCCGCAAGTCCAGTGCTCAGAAACTCAAGAATATACAACTTTTGAGTAGACCTTGTGCCGGGAGCCCTCCCTCAAGCAAGCAGGATCATTCCCCTGTCACCCGCCAAAAACCAAGCACTCAACACCCTGATCACCGAAGGACTAGAAAACGGCACCATCAGACAAACCACTTTGCCCTGGGCAGCACCAGTGCTGTTCACCGGGAAGAAAGATGGCAACTTACGCCCATTTTTTGACTACCGGAAGCTCAATGCGGTTACAGTGAAGAACAAGTACCCCCTACCTCTGACGATGGACCTGGTTGATAGCCTACTTGACGCTGACACTTTCACCAAGCTCGACCTGAGAAACGCCTACGGAAACCTACGTGTAGCAGAGGGTGACAAGGAGAAGCTGGCTTTTGTCTGTCGGCAAGGACAATTCACACCTCCGACTATGACGTTTGGACCAACAGGAGCACCAGGCTACTTTCAATATTTCATGCAAGACATCTTATTGGGACAGATTGGGAAGGACACAGCAGCTTACCTGGACAACATCATGATCTACACGCAGAAGGGAACCGACCACCAAGCGGCAGTCATGGGAGTATTGGAGACACTTAGCAAGCATCAACTTTGGCTGAAACCGGAAAAATGTGAATTCTCTTGACCAGAAGTGGAATACTTGCTACTTTTAATATCATGTAAGCGGCTGAGGATGGACCCGACTAAAGTCTAAGCTGTATCCAAATGGCCACCGCCTAAGAATGTGACCAAACTACAGCGTTTTATTGGCTTCTCAAACTTCCACCGGCGATTCATTTCCCACTTTTCAGGAATAGCTCGACCTCTCCATGACTTGACCAAGGACAAAACTCCCTACGTATGGGACGACCTTTGCAACAAGGCCTTTGAAACTCTGAAAACCGCGTTCACCACGGCGCCAGTACTGAAGATAGCCAACCCGTACAGGCCTTTTGTCCTTGAATGTGATTGCTCAGACTTTGCGCTCGGTGCTGTCTTATCCCAAATCTGCAACAGGGATCAATAACTTCACCCGGTGGCATATTTATCACGTTCATTGGTCCAATGCAAGAAGAACTATGAGATTCTTGACAAGAAACTGCTGGCAATTGTGGCGTCACTATCTAGAGGGCAACCCAAATCAACTACAAGCAATTGTTTACACCGACCACCGGAACCTTGAAAGCTTCATGACAACCAAGCAATTGACAAGGAGAAAGGCAAGATGGGCCGAGACCATGGGATGCTTTGACTTTGAGATTGTTTTCTGACCGGGCCAACAGTCATCCAAACCGGATGCTCTGTCCAGAAGACCCGACCTGGCGCCTTCGAAGGAGGACAAGCTCACCTTTGGACAACGTTTGCGACCCAAGAACATCACCCCCGACAATTTTGCTGAAGTGGCTGAATTTTACTGCTGGTTTGAAGACGAGTCTGTGGACCTGGATGACGCCGAACATTGGTTCCAAGTGGACATTCTTGGTGTGGAGGAGCCCAACACTCCGTCAGAGGATATTCCAACAGACAGCAAGCTGATAAGCCAAATCCGATCTCTGACTCCATCTGATTCCAGACTGACCGAATTGATTTCAGCCTGTGAGAACCCAGTTTCCAGTTGAATGAAAGAGGCCACCAAGCATTACTTGGTGAAGGACGGAGTGCTCTACAAGGGTGGATGGATTGAAGTGCCACACAATGAGGACCTCAAGACCAAGATTCTGAAGAGCCGCCACAATAGCAAGTTAGCAGGACACCCAGGAAGATCAAAGACGCTCTCACTGATACGCCGCAGCTTCACGTGGCCATCCATGAAAAGTTTTGTCAACCGCTACGTGGATGACTCTTGCCTTAGAGTAAAGTCCTCAACTCAGAAGCCATTTGGAACACTGGAACCATTTCCCATCCCAGCGGGCCCGTGGACTGACATTAGCTATGATTTGATAACGGACCTCCCACTATCCAACAATTGTGACAGTATCCTCACTGTGATTGACAGACTGACTAAAATGTCCCACTTCCTTCCTTGCAACAAGTCCATGAACTCCGAACAGCTTGCAGATCTTATGTTGAAACAGGTTTGGAAACTCCACGGCACCCCAAAGACAATTGTCTTGGACAGAGGAAGTGTTGTTATCTCTCAGATCACACAAGAATTGGACAAGCAACTGGGAATCCGGCTCCACCCTTTGACTGCCTACCACCCTTAAACTGACGGACAATCTGAAATCACAAATAAGGCGGTGGAGCAGTACCTACGGCACTTTGTTCAGTACCAACAGGACAACTGGGAACCCCTTTTGGCTACAGCAGAATTTGCTTACAACAACAATGATCACGTCTCAATTGGAGTCTCACCGTTCAAGGCAAACTACGGTTTCAATCCTTCATACGGTGGGATCCCATCAAGTGAACAGTGTCTACCGGCGGTTGAAGAGCGACTCAAACAAATTGATGAAGTCCAGTCAGAACTCAAGTTATGTCTAGAAGCAGCTCAATAATCGATGAAGACCCAATTCGACAAAGGAGTAAAGGACACCCCAATTTGGAACGTTGGCAAGGAGGTTTGGTTGAACAGCAAGAATATTTCGACAACAAGACCCAGCCCCAAGCTGGACCACCAATCGCTTGGACCATTCCAAATTTCTAAGAAAATATCCCAATCTGCGTACAAACTGACTTTGCCATTATCCATGCAGGGTGTTCACCTGGTATTTCATGTTTCAGTACTGCGGAAGCACAACCTTGACACCATCACTGGAAGGCTCCATCCATCACCAGAACCTGTACAGGTCAACAATGAGGAGGAGTGGGAAGTGGAAGGCGTACTGGACTTTCGGAAAAGAGGGAAGAGGGTTGAATACTTGGTCAGCTAGAAAGGCTTTGGACAGGAGGAGAACTCGTGGGAACCTGAGGTCAACTTGGAACACTGTTGAGAACTGGTCACCGAATGCAACATCAAGTTTCCGGATGCGGCGTCAAGACACAAGAGGTCACAGAGATTGAAGTGAGAGGGCAAGCTTTTTCCCACTGGGTTTTTTAACGCTGCCCGGGGAAAGAATGAAGAGCCAGAAGAGGAGGATTTTTTTTATTTTTATCCATAGTTAAAAATTTTTTAGACCAACAATGGGGGCGGCTTGGGCATTAAAGGGGGGATAGTGTTATGAGCTGTGGAGGACTGGAACTGGGGACGTTACATATGTAGAGAGCCTGTTACGTACATGTCACAAACTTAAAACTTGGAGTTTGTTCAAGAGCCACACCTTGTACATTCCTCATCTTGCAATCTACCATCAAGAACCAGAACCCAGAAGATCCCTCCTGCTCTCCTCAGAACACCCATAACACTGGTGACCATTTTTTACAAAATTTTCATTTATAATCATTCTTCCCATGTTCCATTTTTTCTTTCTTCCAGCACTCCCACTCCCCAAAAATGAATATCAGAGCTTTTGGAAAAAAATATTTTTATTTTTTATTTTTCACAGATTTTGAAAAGATTTTCTGCACCACTTCACCAATTATTGTTACTTCAAGTTTGTGCTTTGAAGCTCTGGAATCCAAAACAAGCAGCCAAAAATAATGGTCCATCCACTGTACATGTTGTTCCCTTAGCCAGAATTAACCCTTCCCCTTCATCATCACTTGCTTGAAAGACTCTTACAATGGAATCCTTGGTATGCCTTGGATGTGAAAGCATTGATACCTCATTGACTGTACTAACCAAAATTCAGGAAAACCCAGCAGGACATTGCAGCTGTTGATGCAGCTTTGTCACTTCCAAAAAAACCCTCACCTTTTGGCATGGAGCCTGTGAGGCAAGCTAGGATCTTTGATGAGGGGTTTGTGTATCTGACACTTTAAAACCCCTGCAATGTGATTTGCTACGGTCCCTTCCAAAATTCCCATTGAAACAGCTGGCAAGCCCCTTCCCCTCCTAGAACTTGTAGATGTCAGTGCCTCCAAAGAATCATGGTCAACATTGGCCCAACTTTCAGTGGACAACAAGGCCAAGACCCCAACAAAGACGGCAGAAGAACTGGTTCCAACCCATTGACACCAGTCTATGATCAACATGTTCTGCAAATCCAGTGCCCGGAAACAACTGCCTAGAAGAATCTACGGCTTTCAAGTAGTAGCTCTGGTGGGAGAACTACCCCAAGCAAGCAGGATTATCCCTCTGTAACCAGCCAAGAACCAAGAACTAGACACCCTGATCACTGAAGGACTAGATAATGTCACCATCCAACAAACCACATCACCTTGGGCAGCACCAGTGCTGTTCACCAGGAAGAAAGATAGGAACTTACACCCGTGTTTGTACTACCAGAAACTCAATTCAGTTGGAGTAAAGAACAAGTACCTGTTATCTTTGATGATGGACCTTGTTGATGGCCTACTAGAAGCCAACACTTTCAACTCTGTGGTCGTAAGAGCGCGCAGGGGCCAAAGTGGCCAAATTGTTTGGGCGGGCGCAGAATGCACACAGGCTGATGAGGAAAGCTTGTGGAGCTGAAGCTGCACGCACGGGCTGAGGAAAGAGGCAGCTCACAAATAGACAGTCTGGATTTCTGAGGGGTGGGAAAGCGCAGGAAAAGCAGGCCAAATACACAAGGTTCTGAGAGCTTACGCTGTGGTATACCTTAAGGGTAGCCATCTGGCCCATTTAAAAATTTTACAGTTTTTTCTTTTATTACAAATTACATACTTTTTACACCTTTTTTCTCATATATACACTCACAAATCAACCATTATGGCTCAAGAACTGGATTCTATGGTCAATTTCACCCTTGGTCACCACTGGAGGCGTCACTGGAACTCAACTGGATTGGAAGCTACACCCTCTGGACCATCACTACACTCAATTACACAACTCACCACCATGGCAACACTTCAACACTCAACAACACCAACAAATTACATAACTCACACTATACATATGTACATTGCAGGACAACTGCATACACTCTCACACCATTATATTACATGTATACACACCACTCCACTATCTTCTGACAGTTGACACATGCAGTGTTGGTCTGGTACCACTCTGGATTTACAAGTGACATCAGGTTGTCATGTCATTTGTTAATCTTCCTTTCAGCTGTCAGACTATCTCACACCACTCATGTAATACTCATCACCTCACCTTAGCTTGCAGACTAGTACATCACCTCATGTAAAATGCTACACCAGCATAAAAACCTCATGTAGACTTCTATTTCAAACTAAAATAACTCTTATGACATCATGTAGGTGGCTCAACCAGCCAAAATACCTCATGTACATGTTCTGACTAGCTAAATCCCCTCATTGTAAAGCTCTGGCCAGCTAAAATCTCTCATTCTCTTGTTCCCCTGAAGCTAAAATACCTCACCTTTGTGTATTTAAGAGGCTCTCCTCTCAGTTGTTTTCCCCTCAGTTTAGTATCCACCTATTTCATATCCCCTACCCTTACAAACCCTTACATACCATTACATACCATCCCCTTACCATTGAAATATCAGCTAGACTCACTCTCTCACTCTCAAATCAACCTTTAGACCCTTATAAAACTGGGTTAAACCCTTTGTCCACCTGTTAAGCCACAGTTATCTTTTGATACACTCCACTATCACTTTATTAAACCTTCCAATCTGAGATTGGTGGGCTTGTCTAGTGTCTAGTGATCCAGGAAAGGCAGAGGTATCCTCATTCATCCCTTTACACACTCAGCAAAATGTTTTCACAAACACTTTTGAGCTTTACAACGCAGGGAATCCGAGCACTGGCGGACTTCAGGGTTCACGGCCGACTGCGCACTGGGGTCAGCGTATACTGCAGAGGGGCTACAATGGAGCGGTGTGGTAACCCATACCTTTCCATAGCCCCTATTATTTCACTGTATATTCACTTGTTTTTGCTTCATTATTATTACATATTCAGATTCTACACCTCATTTTACATACACCACGGGACTATAATTCTGATGTCCCATGGACACTCTTCTGGACATCATCTGAGCTGTCTATAACTTGCAGGGCAGAGAGTGTCCATTGGACACTACTCTGCCTGACAGTTTGTGGACGTTTTCTGGAAAACTGTCCACTAGATACTTTTCAAGCCGTCCACTGGATAGTTTTCAAGCATCCAGTGGACAGTTTTGCTCCCAAAGGTATTTCACGGGGGCTGGTCCAGGATGTCCATCTGACATCCAAGCTTGTGTCCAATGGACGCTTTTGAAGCCAGAATTTTTTTTCCCCTTTCCCCCCTCCCCCCTGTTTTTTTTTTTTTTTTTTTTTTCCCTTGAAGTCAAAATTATGCCATTTATTTCTGCTACTTTTTTAAAAAAAAAAATATTTTGCTGGTAATTTAATTACATGCAGGATTATTTTCTGGATGTAATAATAGTGATAATAATAATGATAGTAATAATCTGTAAGGAATAATGAATAAAGAGAGAAAAATAGTGACAAACAATGAAAACCAAAAACAAAAGAAAAAATGATGAAACCAATAAAAAAAAATTATTTTAATGGGAAGAGCCACTAGCAATTGGTGACCTGCCAGCTTGCTTTTGAAGGAGCACATCAAGTTGAAATTGTACATCATCTTCATTTGGCATCCCCACTATGTCTTTGTCAATGATCTTGAGGATTGTTTTATTCTTACCAAAGATCTCATTATCCTTGGCAAGGATTGCTTTTGACCATCTATTCAAGATGAAGACATAGGCAGTGGAATCAAAATGAGTACATTAGGATGTATCAAATATAGCCAAATCCACCATTATTTAATTGACTGGTTTGAAAAAATCCACCCTTTTTTAAACATGTTGTTTATCCATTTAACCCCTTTTGGGGCCCATTTATGCAAAAAAAAGTTTTTGAAAAGTGACTGGTTTCTGATGGTGGATTTCCTATATTTGATACCCCCTATTGTGATAGAAATTGCAGAGGTGTGGAAAAAAGAGAGAAAACTTACGCAGCACAATAATCCGGGTGTGAGCATTCAATTCATGGAGTTTCTGGTTGATGAGGCTCCATTATGTTGACTTTTTGATGTGTGGGTGTAAGGGATGGTCAAGCGTCTGTAGGCAAAGGTGACCAACTCAAGAAAGGAAAAGGGCCACCATGTTTTGGATAAATTGAGTGTTGCTGAGTGATGCTTCGACAGGGTGCAGAAAGCAATAAAGTGTCTCGGTGAGCTTGTGGAGTTTGGGTACGACACCGTCTTTGTTGAAATCCTTAGTGTCAGGGTCAATGATTTTTTCAAGGAGCTTTTTGCGTACAGAGAGCCAGACATGTTGTTCGATTTTGAGCACCATTGCTGCAACCTTCTTCATGGCCGGGCCGTCACCGCTGCCAAAGCCTGGGGGAAGCTCCTTCTTGATCACATCAGCAGGCAGTTTCTTCAAGCCTTTCTGTTTAAATGTTTCAGTATAATGTCTTTGAATTGAATAGGAGGAACAGTTTGAAGAAGAACTTACCATTGTTATTGTTAGCAGTGACCAATCTCCCGTACCAGGCTTGAAGGACTTGCGCGTGTAGCATTGAACATCTGCTTGCATGAAAGCTTCCTTTGTAAGGTCTTGAATACAATCCTGAATCAAAACAAAACAAAATTGAGCATGGAAGGAAAGGGAGAAGTAATGATGACTTACCTTGATAGCATTGCTGTATTGAAAATTTGGTGCCGGTGCTTTGGATGAGCTATGATCATCTGGGTTTTGGTTGACTGAGATGGTGGTAGACTTGCTGGGACCTTGAGACTCTTCCTGGTAGTGTTGAATTTCTCTGAAGACTAGGAAGATCATCAGACCATCTGGGGTCTTTGTTTCACAAAAAGAATACATGAGTTCAGAGTTAAAGCAAATAAGAAAAAAAACTTACATTTAAAATATCAATAGCATCTTGAAAATGCTTGTCATCAAGCTTAGCCTTATCACAAAGCTTCCTAGCAGCCTCATACATTGCCATGGGGTTGGGTACCGCAACAGGATTGTTTGGGGCTGGTGAAGTTGGAATTGGGTCCACTTCCCTGAATGTTGAATCCAAGCTGTCGATTGCAGGATCAATCACCGGGAGGAGCGGTTCAGGAGGGTCCTTCATCAACGTATCATCCTGGTCATGAGCTCTATCCTTCATCCCCGAGTCTCCTTTGCCATCGCTTATTGAATTGTTGCTGGAATTGATGGATGATGGTGGGGGAGGTGCAGGTGTTGGAGCTTGTTTAGCTTTATTTTTATTTTTGGTAGCGGTGGAATTTTTTCCTGATTCAAAGTTAGAATAAGAAACAAGAAATGATCAGTTTTTTGATGGTCAAGAGGAATGCTGATTGCAATGTAGTTGATGGTCAAGAAGAAGAAGATAAAATGAAGAGATAGTAGGGGTTGGAGAGAATTTGTTGAGTAAGAAGATGAGGTGAAGAAGGTTATGGGGAAAAGATTGAGGGGGTTTTGTGTTGGTTTTTAGGTTTGAGTTTGAGGTTGATGAGGTGAAGAAGAATGATGGGGTTTTGTGTTGGTTTTTATGTTTGGGTTTGAGGTTGATGAGGTGAAGAAGGATGAGAAAAAAATACATTACTCTTGCCTGCGCTGCCTGGAGGCAGCACCGTCTTCTTCGTTTTTGCCGGAAGCTTGAGCCTTGGGGTTCTAATCGGTGCCATGGGACTTTGCGACTTGCAAGTGGAGGAGAGCTTCCGATACCAACAAGGTTGGTGAAACAGAATCGTCGAGGTTGGCCGGAATCGGAATTGATTGGGTTGGTTGATTGGAATCGTCGCGGTTGGGTTGGTGGTCAACAGGGTCCTCAAAGTCAAACCCAAAAAGAGATTCCAAATGAGGTCAATGACGTCATTTGAGGGAATCAACCTGGCAGGCCAAAAAAGAAAAAGAAAAAAAAAACCATTCAAGTCGCAAGTGACCATCAATTGCACAACTTGACCGCACGATACCTGTTGCAAAAAAAAACATGGCCCACAGACAAGACCAGCTGACTTTTTTTTGATGAATTTTGGCAGATTTTTTTTGCTGATTTTTTTTTGCTGGTTTTTTTTGGGCCTTAATAAAAAAACGCGGTTTTTCCGCGTTTTGACGCGGTTTTAATGCGCCGCAGCACACGCGGTTTCCGCTTTTAGACGCGGTTTTTTAATTAATTTTTGACGGCTTATTTTTCGAGTTTTTTCGAAATTTTAAAATTTATTCCTACACTTTGAAAGGTGTAGAACTTAATGGTAAAGTCCATTTTCCATAAAAATGAATTTTGATTATTAATTTTTTTTTCCACTTATATTTCAATTAATTGTTTGCATGCATGTATGTACCTTATTTTTTATGCTTTTGTGAAATTTTAAAATTATTTACTAGGTTTTAATGTGTGTAGAATTTAATGGTGCAATCCAATTTTTTTAAAACTCAACGGTTCATTTTTAATACTGAAATTAGACCCATTTTTTCACTTAATTTTTTACAGCTTAATTCTCATCATTTTTTGACATTTTAAATTTATTTCCCACACTTTGAGACATGTAGAAAATGATGGTAACAACCATTTTTCCCCAAAATGAAAACTATACCTTGAATGCCGCATTTGACACATTTTTTTTAATTAATTCATCACTTTTTCACTTAATTGTTTGCATACATGTGTGTACCTTATTTTCTATGCTTTTTTGAAATTTTAAAGTTTTTTCATACATTTAAAAGTGTGTAGAATTTATTGGTAACATCCAATTTTCTTAAAACTCAACAGTTCATTTTTAATACTGAAACTAGACACTTTTTTCAATTAATTCTTTACATGTTATTTCTCACTATTTTTTGACATTTTAAGTTTATTTCCCACACTTTAATACATGATAAAAATGATGGTAACAACCATTTTACATAAAAATCAGCGCTTGTTACTGAATACTGCAGTGGACAGGCTTTTTTTAATGTTTTTTTGATTGATTTTTACCGGCCTGATTTTAAGCATTTTTGTTTATTTTAGATTTATTTCCTACATTTACAAATGTTTAGAATTGAATGGTGAAGTCCAATTTCACTCAAAATACAAGCTTCAATCTTAATAGATGAGTGTACCCTGTTTCTTGCATAATTTGTACCATATACAAATTTTATTTGAATGCAAAATGGATACAGCCATCAATTCTGAAACCTTTAAAAGTGTAGGAAATGAGCTTGAAATTTCAAAAAATAAGGATAATTGAGCGTGTAAGAATTAATTCAGGAAACACGTCAAAGGCATTATTCAAGATATAGTTCTCATTTTGATGAAAATTCATTGTTGCCATAATTTTAAACATGTTTGAAAGTGTAGGAAACAAATTTAAAATGTCAAAAAATAATGAAAATTAAGCTCTTAAAAATCAATTGAAAAATATGACTAATTACAGTATCCAGAATGAACCGTTGAGTTTTATGGGAATTGAATGTCACCATTAAATTTTAAACACTTTGAAATGTAGGAAACAACTTTAAAATTTCAAAAAAGCATAGAAAATAAGGTACACACATGTATGCAAACAATTAAGTGAAAAAGTGATGAATTAATTAAAAAAAACGTGTCAAATGCGGCATTCAAGGTATAGTTTTCATTTTGGGGAAAAATGGTTGTTACCATCATTTTCTACATGTCTTAAAGTGTGGGAAATAAATTTAAAATGTCAAAAAATGATGAGAATTAAGCTGTAAAAAATTAAGTGAAAAAATGGGTGTAATTTGAGTATTAAAAGTGAACCGTTGAGTTTTAAAAAAATTGGACTGCACCATTAAATTCTACGCATATTAAAGCCTAGGAAATAAATTTAAAATTTTAAAAAAACATAAAAAATAAGGTACATACATGTATGCAAACAATTAATTGAGAAATGAGTGAAAAAAAAATAATTAATAATCAAAATTCATTTTTATGAAAAATGGTTTTTACCATTAAATTCTACGCCTTTTATAGTGTAGGAAACAACTTTAAAAATTCAAAAAAACTCGAAAAATAAGCCGTCAAAAATTAATTAAAAAACCGCGTCTAAAAGCGGAAACCGCGTGTGCTGCGGCGCATCAAAACCGTGTTTTTTTATTAAGGCCCTTTTTTTTTGCTGGTTTTTTTTTGCTGATCAATTTTTTTGCTTTTTTTTGCTGGTTCGACCGCAAAGTTTGTTTAATTTCCACCCCTGGAAAAAATACCTTTTGACAGGGCAAAATTAACTCCAATTTTGATTTTTTTCCATGGCCTGGTTTTGTGTTGGATAAAAGTTGTGCCCAGCTCCATATGTCTCTCAGAGTTTAAAACTTTGAATTGCCAATATTCTATTTTTTTGCAACCAGGTTAAAATTTACAGTTTCAAGAACATTTCACCACAAGTAGGTTTCAAATACACAATCAAATGGTTTGTTAATTTTCAGTGGCAGAGGATTAAATTTTGGAAATTTTGTAAAAACATTTTGCCACATGCAACCATATGTATGTAATACAGCATAATTTGTTTCTAATCATTCTGGATAAGTATCATTGTTAGTATCAACGAATTTAGCGTAGCGTTAGTGCTTTTCTCATTTTCTGCGCTAACGCTACGCGCATGGGGAAAAAACCGCCCGCTACGCTGCGCTACAGCAGTTTTTAGGCGTTTTTTGCCGCTAAAAACGCTGTAGCGTAGTGTAACGCAGCGTAGCGGCGCCAGAGGCGCGCTAACACTACACCAAAACTTGGCTAGTGTTAGCGCCGCTACAAATTAGTGTAGCGCAGTGGCCGTAGCGGCGCGCTAACACTATACAAAAAAAAGGAATTGTTGGTGCCGCTACGCTAACGCTACATGGGCCTGTAGTGTAGTGTAGCGTAGTGGCCCACCGCTGTTAGTATCAGGTAAGCCACATCTAAAATTATTTCAATTTTATGATTGAACTCCAATTTGTTTTCACTTTCAGCTAATTTTTCATTTTCATCTCATCTCTCTAGTAGTGTATTCTTCCCCAATATATAAAAATCACTTATTTCTTTAGGGGCTTGCAAAAACAACTCCCAAATACAGTCGTTGGATGTCTCTCATTTTCATATTTTTTCTATCTCATCTCTCTCTATTCTTCCCCAATGTATAAAAATCACTTATTTCTTTCGGGGCTTGGAAAAACGACTCCCAAATACGGTCTTCGGACTTCAATTGGGAGTTGTTTTTCCAAATGGATGGCCCACTTTGCGAGTCGGCCATCCTTTTTTTGTATTTTTGGGAGTTGGCTCCCCAAACCACCCCTCATGCTTAAGGGGATTTAGGAGCCGCTCCCACATGACCGGAAGGATTTCCTTCCGGTCAATGGGAAACAACAACACCGTTGACCGGAAGGAATCCCTCCCAGGTGGTGAGGTGTAGCAGCCTCATTGACCAGAAGGGATTCCTTCTGATCAATGAGGTGTAGCAGCCTCATCAACTGGAAGGGATTCCTGCTGGTCAATGGTGTTGTTGTTTCTCATTGACCAGAAGGAATCTCTTCTGGTCAATGGGGCATAATAACTCCATCGGCTGGAAGGAATCCCTTCCGGTTGTTTCTCATCAACTGGAAGGATTTCCTTCCAACTATGTGGGAGCAACTCCCAAATCCCCTCAAGCATGAGGGGTGGTTTGGGGAGCCAAAACCCAAAAATACAAAAAAATTAAAAAAAATTGTTGGGGGGTATCACCCAACAAGACATAATTCATCCAAACTGCAAAAAAAACATCTCATACACATTATTCTTACCTTTTTTTGGTTCAACTGTCATACAATTTCAGAAAACAAATTTCAGAAGGTTATATTCCAATCATTTTAGGTGGACAAGGGCAAAAAATGTTTTTTTTTTCCAATCCGCAACTCTTCAATTTTTTTTTAATTCATTCAATACCAGTGTACATCATTTTTTTCATTTTTTTTTCTTCAACTGGATTTACAAAAGGATATAATAATCAGAAATGATAACCGTGTACAACATGTTTTTATTTTTTGATCTTTAACTGGATTTTCAAAATCAAAGATGATAACCGTGTACAACATGTTTTTATTTTTTGATCTTTAACTGGATTTTCAAAGGGGGATAATAATCAGAGATAATAACTGTTTGATGATAGTAATACCTGCCATCCTCGACAATCAAATTGAGTTTGTGAAAAGTAAAGGGGCCCTATTGCCTCACATTTCCCCCACTGCTGGTTGTCAGATCAGATGGTATGTTGTCAAAGTAACGATTGCGAAGGTTTGTAAGGTAGCTATCCAACCTATTGTAAAAATCATTGTTCAGGGTCCTGATGTCAGATCCGATCTTGGCCTTATAGTGGTCCAACCGAGCTTGAAACCTGTCCTCAAAGAACTGTTTGATCACAAGGGTAATGAACTGATTATTATTGTGGGTGAGGGTTATTGTTTCAAACAATAATTTATCCGGAACGGTGGCCATGCAGCACATATTTGTGAAGCAGGTGCCAGCGCGACTTGCGATGATCGTTACCAAGCTCTCACAATGATCGCGTATTCGATACACCATATCAAGCTGAAATTCTTGCAGTCGTAACGTCATCAGGACCTCCATCACTTTAGCACGGCCTGCGAAGAGCTTTCTATGCGGTGTTGTAAGTCTTTTCTCGAAAGGTTACGTGGGTTGTTCTGGTTCATGGCCGATAGGCTGTAAGGGATGGAAATCCCTTCACTGGTCTTGAAGGAAAAGCTCGCAGAAATGAGGCACGAAGTCAGAACTTCTAAGACCAAACTGGGGGGGCTTGTATTTCCTGGCTCAGAGAGATGGGGATCAGTTCTCTCTCTACATACAAGTATCTGACCAAGAGAAGAAAGGAAAATGAAAAGGAAAATGAGAAGAAAAGCTTACCTGGCTCAGAGAGATGGGGATCAGTTCTCTGTGGAGCCAGGTCCGGATCTCAAGCAGGTCAGACTATAATTACAAGGAATCTTATCTGTGACACTCTTGTGAAACCCAGCAGGGGAGGGGTTTTACATAGGCCACGCTCAGCTTCGTCACGTGTATCAGGCCCAAGCGCAGATTCTTCCAGAGGTCCTGCAAACAAAAAGAAACATCAGAACACATGGATTTTGTAAATCCAAATGAGAGAGATCATGCGCTGAAGAAAACGAATGGGATGGTGGAGCTCAGAAGAACTTACCTGTGGGGGACAGTCGATGTTTCCAATCCACATCGATATCCATCACATCGTCGTCCGATCGGTCCCTTTGACTGTCCAGTTGGGCTTCGCGATGATCATCCATTGTGATATCTGTGATGGGTCAACTAGATCAGATGGTAGTGATTGCTTGAATGTGATGTGGAAAGCAAGCTGAGTGACAGATTAGCATCTACTGTGATGGCTATGATGTGACACATGAGGAGAAAAACAAGACAATTTCAATGAGACTTACATGAGCACCTAACAGAGGTGCGTCCAGAGAAAATTGGCGTACAATTTTGAGCAAGAAGAGTTAGCCTGAGACCAACAAAGGGCGCGCTGACCTTCTATGATCTGGAGGGGGAGCTGTCCCGCAGGCAGTGTGCTCTGCGGCAGCGACCTGTTCAAAGGGTCCCTGCGGGGTAGCGTGACACCCCCCCCCCCCGGAATCCAGAGGGACTGGGGCCATTTGGCGCGACTGTATCTCGAACTTGCCATATAGCTGAAGGTCTAGAGCTGTGACCATTCTGTTTTTTCTTTTGGTGAGCATGACACACTCTTTTCATATTGAGAAATATTATATGCAGATTCTAGTTTTTTTACTTTGTGCATTTTTTTTGTCCATCATTTTTATCCCATTCCTTTCCCCTTAGAATCTGTTTTGTTGCACAGAAGAAAAAAAATTACAAATCTACACCTGGTTTTATTTTTGTTTTTTCTTCCATCATTTTTATCTGATTCTTTTCCATCCTTAATAAATATATATCAAATTTGCCTTATCATGTCACCATCAATGTTTTTGTCACTTTTTTCTTGGCAGTGCCAGTCTTGTTTTGGACCCGGGTGCCAAAGTTGCATGTGGTGTAAGAGGCCGCTAATAAGTCTTATGATAATCATTGTATGGGGGAGGAACAGTCCTTGCTGCCATCAAATTATTTTGTCTTTCATCTGATTTTTTTTATTTTCATCTTTTTTATCGCATCTCTTGGTTTTGTAAAACATATCATTAAAAACAAATAGGAAAAATGAGCATTCACTTTTTTTCTGTGTATGAATCCAATGATTTATATATATTCATAAAGCTGGTTCATTTTCCAAAAGTTAGAAAATGATCATTATTCTAATTTTCATTGGTGTCAACATTTTTTCTGTAGGGTGGGTGAGTGGGGGTGCTTGGAGTCGACAATAAACCACACACTTTTTGGACTTCATTTGTCAAAATTGGTTAATCATGTTACTCACTCCCACATGGCCCGTGAAAAAATCGCTTTTTGCGCTCAGAAGGCAGAAAAGAGCAGGAACGGTATGTATTCTCTTTGTTGGTCTTTGTTTACATTTCAGAGCCGTTTAAAGAGGTTTAAAGTTTTTTAAAAAAAGGCAACTACTTGTGTGTCAATTTGTTCATATAACCCAAGTCCAGACAAAAACTGACAGCCAAGACGCAGTAATTGAGAGAAAGGGAAAATAAACAATATGAGGTCGGTCGGACTATTCACACATTATACATTCAGTTATACAATATAAGCACTGTGATATAAACCAAAACAGAATGACAAAAACCGAGGCTTCTCAGGTGACTGGAAATGATATCTGGGTCAGTGAACTTTATCATTGATGAAGATTCATAGTGTGAGAGCGGAAACGGGGCTCACAACACGGTGGGTAGGTCAGAACTCGGTGCGCTTGTAATTAGTGTCTCCGTCGTTGTTTGGGTCGCTTCTTTTGGTTGGATCAATTGATGCCAACGGTGGGGCTGCAACATTGGAGGTGGGATGTGGGTTAAAACTTTGTCCAGGCAGAGAGATCCGTGAAAGTGAAAGTGACTGACTTCTAATAATGGCGGCTTCAGTGACTTCGGATTGTATTACCGGCGGAGAGCTGTGTGCCTTGGCGGGGGCATAAGTTGCTTCAGCGGGGTGCAGGTTTTCGGACGTTTGGGGCAAATCTGGGGGGGGATTCACGAAGTTCTGTTGGGACGAGATCACTGATTGAGTGCCTTGAGACGTATGTGGCACCCCCCCCCCAACTTGTCAGCACTGAGAGCTGCGGCAATTCGAGTGCTGTGAACTTGCTGATTTTTATTAATATTCTCCAAGATAGCTTGTCTTTTTAACCTCAACGCACGCATGAACATCAGATCAGACTGTAAATCACAATATGGTTCATGGGATTGAACATGTCGCTCAACTCTTCCTTGGAATTCTTCGGCATCTGTAACTAATCGAGTCGGGTCCATGGTTGAGATTATATCACGGATCAACTCATTCTCCAATGCTGTGAGCTTGGCGAGTTTTTCTTCGTAAGTCCCGGCACCAGAAGTGGGAGCCGACAAAACCAGCTCCATTTCATGGGGGGAGATTCCCCCCAGAACATCCGCAAATTTGAAAATGGTCGAGGTGGCCGTGTTGAATATGGCCGAGTTTAATTCTTGGGAGAAGAACACGAGGGATTGGGCTCGAGGAACTGTGCTAACGGTACTTGCGCGATGGGTGCGCAGCAATTCACCAGTTGGATGAGGGATTGGGGGTGAGGCGGTTTCAGTGTGAGTTTGCTTCCCAGCTCCAGTGTGTAGGACCTGTATAAGTTGAGGACGCGCAATGATTCCCTGAATGTGGGCCAGAGTGCGTTCAAGAGAATCGAAATGTTGAGGAAGACATGTGCCAGCAAGCTCCTCAATACCTTCCTGCGTATCGACGACATCCCTGACTAGAATTGAGATGCGATTCTCAAGGGGGGACTTATTGAGATTGGCAAAGGTTTGACCTCTCAGCATAGACAATGCATCTTCAAAAGGGACAAAGGGGTTGATCTGCATGTTGAACAATTCTTGGTGAGACAGCTCCACGGAAGTTGCACCAAACTGAAGGCTGTGGAGAATGGTTGTTGCAAGCTTTTCAAGCGCAAAAAAACATGTGGGGATCGCTTCGAGGGTGAGAAGTTCCAGGTTTTCAGCCATTACTTGGACCCTTGAGTGAGTGAGTGTGAGGAGAACGGAGTAGGGAAGAAGGTTTGCGATCTCGACATCTTAGAATGCAAATTGATTACATCTCAGTGCCCTGGTGACATTGGTCTATACTGATGTTCATGACCGGACTGGGAAAGATCCAAGACTCACCTAAATCGCCCGGAGATTGGTAGCGGGCTGAGGAGCAATGAAAAAGTTAAACATATCTCGGTCCGTGATTAGTGTTAGGAGGAGGAAGAATTTCTCACAAACTCACTTTGGGTGCGAGCTTCAGCTTGGTGGGAGGCTATGGAGCAGTGTCAAAGTTAAGCATATCTTGGTCAGTAATGAGTGAGTGAATAACAGGAGCAAGAGAGGATCATGAATTCACTCTGGGTGTGAGCTTCAGCTTGGAGGAGAGCTGAGGAGAGATGTAAAAGTCAAATATAGCTCGGTCAGTAATGAATGATAAGGAGAGCCACAACCCCGGTCATAAGCTTACACTTGGTAGCCGGATCAACAGAAGACGATATTGGAGAGGACATCGTACAAGAGTTTCTAGTGCTAATGGTCTGCAAAGTGATTAGAATACAATGTGGGAGAACCTCTGGAGCTGGTGCCGGGCAAAGAAGATGGGTAAAGAGACGGAAGGAATGATCTGATTAACAAATAGTCCAGATCAAAGATTGAAGTGTGTATGCTCGAGTGGCATGATGATGTTCCTAGGGATAAAAGGTGATGCTGTTGGGCACGCGTGATAATTGGCTGTGAAGGGTTCAAGGGGGGATGTCTGGAAGGGAAGGGAGAAGGATTGGTGATCAAATTCATGTTGGATAGAACAATCGATGTGTAGAGACTTAGACTGAAAGGATATAGTCGATAAGAATTCTCGAGATCAGAGTTGATGAGCTATGATATGTAATCAACAACAAAGATGAGAATATCTCAAAGACCTTGCTGCCGACCGCAGCGTCCCAAGTGCAAGGAAGTTCGGAACGCTGAAATTCTTGAGGGTACAGTGCCGAAGTGAAAGGGATGGCAGAAATACATATTTATTCAAAATTTCAAACAGCAAACGTGGCACAGTTGTCTGTTTGTCTGTAAATATGTAATACTTGTGTCGAATGCAACTAATGCGACAATGTAAAATATATTATACATGAGACATAAGACATGTCTATGTATCTATCTACAAGCTGCCGAATTTGCCCAAGTCCCTCAGCCTCAAAGGGCAGGCCCTGGCAGGATCAGGGACTTTTTGAACTGGTTCAGAACAATACGGTTTGTGCATGGTTGGGGGTTGGGTCCCACTGCCGGGTCATGCTCCCTTGGCCCGAGTGGTGGTGTGGTAGCACCACAAATACAACGTCCTTCGCTGTGGCTGCCTGGCCGCTTTGAATCAACGAGGCAATTGCAAGCCTTTCTCTGCCAAGGTCTATCTCTTCGTGGCACAAGTATCATGTGTATGTCATGTTGGCCAACCAAATCGACGGTGAAGATTAATCAACAAGCCAACCTAATGTTGTGCGTCTATCTAACTTTATCTTTGCCTCCCTCTCGCCGTGCAGTGATCTCATTCTTCTCTATCTAGGCTTCCCCAAATGGCTTTTGTATAACGTATAACATTAAATCACAGCGCGTCAGATTGTCATGGTTAAAAATGTAGATAACCGGGCTTTGTCAAAGCCTGCCGGCTGCCTGCTTCCTTAACCTTTGATACAACTGCATATAGTTTCATGCAGAACATCAACAATGGTAGGGAAGTAGCTTTATGACCCTCCCGCGGCAGGTAATCTTGAAGTGATCTTCATCAACCTATGTCTGCACAAGATCCAACAGTTGCCTACCAATTATAGGGAACATTGAGACTTTTTTCCCACTTCGATCATCCATTGACCATCATTTCTTTGTTGCTGAGTTTTTCATCACCACGTACATTCATCTGCTCACTTCACTCTAATATAATAGGCCGCTTCCGCCCTATCCCTGCACCATCCGGCTCACCATCCACTTCACTTTTTCATTCACCAACCCACGATTTCCTCATCGTCCTAACCTTTCAACCCATCTGACAGTCATTCACACGCTTCCTTCAGGCTCAACTTCCATCACATGGAACACCCCCGCCACACAGGTGATCAGCCGTCTGAGGCTGCTGATTTTGGTGAGTTGGCAATTTATCTTTGTTATGTATATGCAAAATACTAATACTACCTATTTCACTCAGATGCTATGATTGAACGGCTCCCTTTCTCCGAGCGGCTGTGGGTGATCCACACGGCTGTTGAAATGATTCAGGCGCATATTGAATTACTTGGACTCGAATCTTTTCCTGAACGCTTTGACGAGATTGACCATTGTTGTGGTAAGCCACTCCTGAAAATTCAAATTTATCAAGAGCACAAATCACAGAAGAATCACACAGTCAAGACACCCCAGAAAGCTCCCCAGACCCCCAAACCAATCATGAATCCCCTCAAGCACAGACCACATGGATAATAATATTTCCCAACCAGCAACTCCGCAGCCCTGAAACTCATTCCCCTCCAAACATATTCCATTCTTCTTACCCCTTGTGTTCCACACTAGTAGCAATCCCCCTGAACCATGAAACAGTTATTTCCTCCTATCTCCTTCGATGGAATATTCTGCCCCTTATTTGTTTCATACTAGTAACCTTGGGAGCACCTTCCCACTTCTTGTTTCCCCTGTTTCCCTGGATAAATATTTTCCCTTGTTTCATACTCTTCATAGAATGTTCCACATATCTTCCAACCACAAGCTGGCCACTCCCCAGAATTTTGTATATAAGGAGCTTTGTTTTTCCTCTTCATTTGTTCCTCATCAGATCCTGCCCCAGCAATTCAGATAACTGATCACCCATTATTAGCCAGGTATTTGCCCATCAACATTTGGGATACCTTGATTTGTGAACAAGTATATTTAGACTAGTAAACATAAGACATATTAGACATACCATCCTCAAGAAATCTCCAAAGCCACACCTTTCCTTAAGAGTCCATACTCTTATATTTTCTTGTTATCAGAGAGGCAGCCCATTAAAGCACTCATCCCTCTCAAGCTCTATTCATCCCAAGAGTAGTTCCACAAGTGGTGTCCCAACAGTGGCCTAACAGATCTTTGGTTTTCAGTCACTACCACTCACAGTTTCTATGCTAAATATACAGTCACAGATTAGCTAGTTACTACCATCCCTTTTTTTAGAA